GTCGTCAGAATTGCCGTTCGACCAGGACAATCCGACGCGTGTATTTTAGCCGTAGCAACGCATGCACTGCAGACAGTATCATCAGCTACACAAGTTAACCTGGCAATGCACAGTTAACATGTAACTAACTGTAGACCGACTCGGCTATCTTATATATACAAGAACCCCAATACCGTCTATGGTGTGGCTGGCGATTTTACGCATTAATTAGCCGTTTACGGTTAAAAAATACACGCCCCGGGACTCCCCTAGTTTTCCCCCTCCCCCCTCCCCCTCCCCTCCCCCGCTCCCACTCCCCCTGTTTGAATTTTATCCTGGGGAGAACCCTGGGGTGACACAAAGAGGAGAAGGTAAAGGGATGGAGAGAGGAGAAGGAGAGGTAACACAAATAGGAGAAGGTAAGAGGCTGGAGAGAAGAGAAATAGAGGTGACACTGAAGAGGAGAAGGTAAGGGGATGGAGAGAGGAGAGGAGACACAGGGAGGAAAGGGTAAGGGGTGGAGAGAAGGTAAGGGAGAGAGAGGATAAGGAGAGGCGATATAGCGAGAAAACGGTAAAGGAGGAGAGAGAGAGAGAGAGAGAGAGAGAGAGAAAAGAGAGAGAGAACGAGTGGCGACACACAGAGGAGAAGGTAAGGGAAAGAGAGGATAATGAGAGGCAACAAAGGAGAAGGTAAGAGGGTGGCAGAGAGAAGGTGATGATTGGCGACACCATTGAGCTATGTGTTTGAGATTTTATTTTGATATTTTAAGATATTTATATTACAGCCATAAATATTTGTCAACGATATTCTCGTAACATTAACATTAGACATTAAGTGCTATCTTAGCATTAACGTTAGCATTAACTTTACAATGTTTCTGGCAACGGCCCCTAGGTCACTGTTTGCTTCGAAGACAGTTTCACTGCCTCTCTTTGCCCATGCAGCAGTATTATAATAATGAATTGACGTAGTAGATGTTGGTATGCTTAGAATCATCAACAGTTTGCTATCTTTGCTCACCACTGTAGACCTGCTGGTGTTCCCACACACATCTCCCTCCTCCATGACCATCGCTTCAAAGGTGTTGTTGGTTATTTGCCACTGCACACTGTTAGTAGACACACATAATTAATGCACCAACTTTCCTGCTGCTTTCCAACCCGTGTAGTTATAACAGAAGCATATATCTCACTCTGTCAAACCTGCCACTTCAACGTCCCACAATAAAATTAACCATGATTTCTTCTTGTGACAGTGTCATGCTGTACAGCATATAATCAGATGCTTTAGGTACACCTGCAGGTAAACTGCTAGTCATGACTTAATATAGGCTTTCCTGCGCATTGGTGATGTAAGGTAACCGGTTGACTCACCCAAGAACTCCACTGTATGGGCTCCATCGCAGGCTTTGCTCATGCTGGGCAATGTTGTGAAAGGGGCAAAAGTCATACCTATAACTACAAGCAAAATTATAATTGTTAATTACAGAAATGACTTTAATAAATATGTCATATATATAATGTAATTTTTTCCGTCTCATAATTTCAAAAGCAGTTCTACTCAGTATTATTATTTTTAATGCAATATGCTGTTTTTTTCGTGTGTTTTTTGTGTGAAAATAAAACTTATTCGTCATAACATAATAAAAAATGTGTCCAATGATGAAATGATAAAGTAAGGTTATATTGTTACCTGTCGGCTGTTAAATTAAAACACTTTCCAATAAGTCGGCGAAACTGAGGTGGCCCCGAAAACGAAACTGGCTTTATACGCAGAGTCAATGGCTTTTGGTTTTGTGTCAGCTCCTCCAAAATCATTTCTGCAACACATTACTTGAAAAAGTATTACACGCTCAAATTTGAGATTACCTAGAAAGGAATTCCCGATTATACAAAAAGTAATTTAGATTTCAAAAAAAATCATATACATGGTCATGCAACATGTGGCAATTTCTTATAGGGTCGCTACACTATATTACTATCTGCATAATCACAACAACCCAGCAATCGAAATTCCTGCAGTGCATTAGATACAGTTACTAGCATGAGCAGTTGTTGAATCTACATGCACCTGCATGTCCACAAACTACTTAGTAGATTACAACTTACAGGCTACTGTGAGGCTCATCAACAATCCTAATTGAGACTTTTTCACCATGTGTACCTAGAAAAAATATACATCTAGACAAATTAATCTAATATATATGCTTGTTGTAATAAATAAAAATAAAAATTTCCTTGACATTAAAATATTTCCAATCTTTTAGTATAATAAATAAAGATGCATAACATATAATGAATATATAATAAGGCATATAAATAAAAATAAAAATAAAAAATAATATATATATATACATATCTATATATATATATATATATATATATATATAATAATATCGACTAATAATACTTATATATACAGTGTTTCCCCTGCAAAAAGGTGATGTCGAGGTGTAAATTTTTCTTTTTGGTGGTTGCGAAACCAAGGAGCAAGCAATGCGACACCGAAGGATGCGCCATGCTAGAGGGTCCGGGATGCTCTCCCCTTAAAATAAAATAAAAGTAACGTGCCATTTGGTGCATTCTAAGCTATTCTGTAAGCACATTTATAACAAGGTAGCGTATAATGACAAGGAGTAAGAAGCGATTTAGGTACTGATTGACTACAGTTGTTGTCGTACGAGTTCGAGTGAATAAAAGTATCAAATGTATACAAACATGAGCTTCCTTTGTTCATTGGTCCGTTATTCTACTCTTCCGGTGTAGTGATTACAAACCGCTGGTATTTCCTTCCGTTTTGACGATACAATCATAACTTTTGCACGAATGGCTTTTCACAGTTATTATCCGTCGTGGGGCGAAGGACAAACTCTAAATCCAACACA